GCGCACCACAAAACAGTAGAACATTTGCTGTATATCTGCTGTCACTGCAACTGGTTCTCTTCTGAATCTAACAAGCACTCCAATGAGGGTGTTGTTAAGGTCTGGTCCAGAAAGCAACACATCATTCAGTGAGATTCCATCGTACTGTGCGCTGGAATCAAACACCACACGAATCTTGTCTGGTTTTTGAGGGTGGTAAACTCCAAAGGTAGGGAGATACCAACATTCCGTCCCTTCTTTGAGTGGTGGTGCAAGCTCAGCATGCTCATTGTCAAGCATTTTTTGCATGGACTCAGTGAAGTGCACTTTCATTCCAGGTTTCTTCTGTAACATCCGTCGCACCGACATTAGACGGCTGTGAGCATAGTCTCTGTTGTTAGGGAGACGTCTCCATGGGTGACGGAAAGGGAGTGGAGCAACCCAGCTGTTTGTGTCATCTTGTGTCAACTCTCGTTCCATGATCTGAAGGAAGGCTAGATCCTCAACAGAGTGAGCGAGCTGGTTGTCATTCTCTGTTGTACAGAAAACCGTTTTTCCTAGGTTATCCATATTTGATACCCTCAATGCACTTTGCGTGGGTTTGTGCAGGAGAGGATTCTTGCACTTACTTTCGATACTGTAGATTTCTTTCACTCGTATCTGATTCTCACATGGAGTAAGGCAAGTTGGTCTTCCATTTTCAAGGATGCAGGTTTTCAAGGCACCCACTGTTTGTCTTGTGAGCGCCTCCTAGGCATACATCCCCTATGATGACCCACCCAAGGTCTAGCTTTTGTGCATATGGTGCATAGTGAGGGCCATTGTGCTGTTTACGTACCTTATGGGCCCTAATAATATCTCTTCCCTATAGCAGTAGCATGTCAGCGTCTGGATCAAGGGGTGGGATTTCAGTTGCTATCTGCCTTAGGTGCTGGTGGTGGTACGCAGCTTCTGGTGTCGGGATCTCTGCTCTATTGTTTGGGATTTCGTTACACTCAGTTAGTGTAGGTAGTGGGATGTCTATTTTTCCGTCTATAGATTCTACTGTGAATCCATAGGCTTTTCTGCCAGCTGTTTCCACCATCCCTGCACAGGTTTTGAGTGTGTATGCCACTGCTGCTCCACCGATGTTGAACATTTCAAAAAACTCTGATCGAGCTAATGATACATTGCTCTGGTCATCTAAAATGGCATACATTTTTCTCTGTAGGTTGCGATGACCACTGGGATACACATTCACAATGCAGATCTTTGGACAGGATTTGCCTTTGAATTCCTCACCACATACTTTGGTACACCGTGATGTGATATCTGGCTACCTTGTGTCCTCCCTCTCCCCGCCGTTCTCTGAAGAAGGGGAAAAACCTGGCTGATATTGCGGAGCAGGACCAGGGTGAAGAGCAGCGAGGTGTTTATTGCTGTCACACTCTGTACATTTGATGGGAGTTTCACAGAATTTTGCCTGGTGCATAGTAGAAGCACAGCAGCGAAAGCATATATTGTTCTCTTTTAAGAATCGCTTTCTGTCATCTAAGATCATTTTCCTGAACCCTCTGCATCTCTTCAGTGGGTGGGGTTTGTTATGCATGGGGCAAAGTCTGTCAAGATTTTCTGTTTTGGTCACTGTATCTGATGATGTGCTCGTTTTATGTACAGAGACTGGTTTCATGTGACTTAACTTCTCATTCTTGTAAGAGGTTGGAGCGAGAGTGGGAAGGTTAAAGCTTGGGTCATTTCGGTCTTCAGCATCCCTGCAGACGAATTCTCGAAAAAAGAAGAAAGGGGGAAAGGCCACACAATGTTCTCTTTTGTATTTGCATCCTTGAGACAGACACTTGTCCTGGAGATATATGGGCAGCTTCTCGACAATGGGCTGCACTCCCATTGCTGTGTCAAGGTAAGCTAGTCCTGGTAAGTATCCATCTCTTTTGGTGACATCCAATTCTATCAGTAGGTCTGCCAGCTCTTGAAGTTTTTTACTGTCTCTGTTATGGATCTTGGGGAAGTTCTCTATTTTACTAAAAAGAGCTCTCTCTAGTACTTCTGGAGATCCATATGTTTTGTTTAATCTCTCTCAAATTGTTTTAAGACCAAGGGAGGGTTGCCTGACATTTACCGACCTAATCCTAAGTGCCTGCTCACTGGAATCCTTACCCAGCCATTTGATCAGCAAATCCATCTCTTCACTTGCTGACAGCTCAAGGCTTTCAATTGTGTTGATGAAGGTCTCTCTCCAAGCTTGGTAGTGTTCGGGTAGGTCATCAAACGTTGTCAATCCTGAGGACACTAGCTGATTTTTAGCAAGAAATTTGGCAAGATCAGCTGTTGTAGTGTTACGATTTGTGTTGTCTGAGGGTGATGGCTTTGTGGGAAGAGCACTGTGCTGATGGTCATAATTCCTCTGCTGTAGCAAATCTGTATGAAGCTCCTGTGTGTCCCTTTGTTGGTACATTGATCTCCTATTGATGATGTGCGCCTGGGTCTGCGCAGTGTTGTCGTGCTGGGGTGTGACAATTGGACGTAAGGGGTAAACTTCCTTATCCTCTCTAGGTGCCTGTGGGTAATGATGCAGGGCATGGTGGGTGACATAGTCATGCGTTCTTTTCAGTGCACTCTCTTGAAGTGGCAAGAACGCAGGTTCTTCAATATGGTCCGAGCCATCCATATCTGCAGCTGCTCTCTCCAGCACTACAGCTTCTACATGGGCAACTTCAGCTTCTCGTTGTAGGTTGATGAAGTCAATTCTAGCTTCCAGCTTGGCTTTCTCAATTTTGACTTCACTCTCCTTTTCTGTGAAGGTCAGTCTGATTTTTGCCGCCTCTGTTTTAGCACGGGCCCTTGCTGCTTCTAAGCTGGCTCTAGAGCTCGTCGATGAGCGTGAAGAGCTTGATTTTCTGGAGCGATGGTGAGACAGGCTCGTAACTGTTTCAACACGATCTTGTGAGCATTTCACTTTGCCTTCATCTGGAGCATCTACTGACCTAGTAGTTTCCATGGCGATGAAGTGCAGTGTAGCTTGTCTATCCGAAAATCCTCCTTAAAGTCCCACGGTAGGTGGTCATCTTGTCCGCCACCATCATGAATGTGTGAAACACCAGGGCAGACACTTCACTGAAGGTGCAATCCGTGCCAGTGGTCGATTTTGAGGCCTTCAAGGCACAGGATTATGTGGATTGAACACTGAGATGCTCAGTCAATGAGTCCATGGGCACACGGCACTTCTTGAACATCACTTCCTGTTACTCTGATTATTTACACTTCGCTCACTTCCTGTTGAGTGCAGCTATTCACAATCGCCACTAGGTTTTGCTAAAGGACATATAAAATAACTAATACATTGAATACAATACAACGGCCCTGCTATCCACTTAGCCACAGTCACCTAAGTAGTACTTATTTCCGTCTTTGAGCTGCTGTAACACCTGACACCTCTCTGGGACAAATAACGGCTTATTGTATCTTATCTCATTTTTAAAATAATAATAACTCCTGCGTCTGTGAGTGAGTGAGTGAGTGTGCACTTCAGTGTCCATCCACAGCTGATCTCGTATCATGCTTCAGCGAACTGCATAATATTTTGGCTGGCCAGTCATAGCTGCATGCTCAAGGACCTCTCGTGGTTGCGGTGACTCACACTTTGCCTGTTTTATACTGGCATTGACTCCCTGTTGACTCCTCACTCACTACTCTTGACCGGCACCCAGCTGGTAGATGCCGCTGGTGATAACACAGCTGAGTGCATCTCTGAATTGCCAGCAGCTACTCTGCAGCCAGAGACACAGTGGGGGGGCAGTTTGCACACTTTCATTGTTTTGGAAGTTGTGTTCGGTGCACACTCAGCAGCTGCTACACGGGCAGACAGCCTGGTGACTTATGGTTTTGGCAGGAGTGTAAATTGTGTCTTATGCAACGACTTTGATCCAATTGCCTGCATACATCGCCACTTGTTTTTGAGTTTGAATGAAATTAGTTTTACGACGCCTTACAGCCCATTACTTAGACTGGGGTTAGCCAATTGTGGGTTGTGTTCATTTAATGACACAATACAGCAGTAGTCGTTGCAGACACACCTGGAGGAGATCTGCACTGTGTGCCCCTTTCTAGTCTTGAAGCTGGTTGGGTCATCTTGTGCTTCGAAATCAATCACAAATTGTCATGAATTAGCCGTTTTGTCTAGTGGTGAGACAGCAGAGGTAACGTGATATATAAATATTTAATGTGCAACATCAACAATACTTTATATATGATAAACATGTCAAGAGAATGTGAACAACATCTTTATTTAAATTGTGAAAAAAACACACGGGAAAACAATTCACCTGAATAATTTGGCAGACAACCTGCCAGATTACTGAAGACATTTTTCTTAAGTGCTGGTAAAAAAAATAATAAAAAAATAGAATCCTGAGTTTCCCCTCAAATTCAGCGGCTTTGGTACATCAACACAATGTGAAACAGTGAACGGGTGGTTTACAGTTTCCTCATGACGAGCAAGATATGTACACCATCATACACAAAGAAGCAATACAAATGTGTTTTATTCATATCTAAAGCACATTGTTGTCCTATAGTTTTGCATAGCTCGATCTCCCCAAAGGAATTGCAATTAGCATATTTTTTATATATTTTTTATTTCTTTAGAACTTCCAATAAGCATTGATTTGGTATGTTTGCAAATCCAAAGACTCCCTGATTTGCATATAACTGTTTGACTATATATTCACACTGAAAAACAGTAAATACAATGAAGCTTAGTGTTAATGGTTTATGTGTGGGTGTCTTTTGACCTCCAAATCACTAAATCAGTGTTTATTAGGCAGGATTATTGATGATATAACAACAAGTTGAATAGCAGCAACACATGCAATTTCTGACAAAATACTTATTTTTTGTGATTATTACGTGAGACTTCATAAACCTGTCTGTGTCCACCACACTGTATCCACCAGGTGTAGGATGAAAAACAACATATACTGTAAGAAAGTGTATTGTGGATAAAGTTGATTATCAAGTCCACCCGGTTAGGTGTGCTTTGCAGCGGAACCCTTCATGTTCTTCGGTGGCGAAGTCTTCTGCTTGGCCTTGATTTGGTGACTGCGATTGTCAGGCACTAAACTTGACTCTCTGCTCCCTGACTTGGACACCTCAGATTGCGAGTTTGATCTGGTTGAAAGCAGGTTTTGGCTTGAGGGGGCAGAGGTGGGGATCTGATAAGGGCTGAATCGCAACCAAGGCCGAGAGCTGCGGAAACAGGGGTTTCTGGCCAACTGAGGGGTTGCCGAGCAGGTGGGGAGAGCTGGTGCTGCCATGTAGCCGTATGGATAGGAGAACAATCCTCCAAAGGGTGACAGTGAGATTCCCTGCACGAAAGAAAACAATTGTTAATTTTACTAACACCATAGACTTTCCGATGTTCCTACATTTCCATGTGCAGCTGCATGTCTATGAGCTGTGAGTTCAGAGGAGTGGTTTTATAGAGAAAAGTCTTTTGTTTTGTTTTTCCTATTATTTCCTACCCGGTAGTCATCTTGCACCCACTAAGATTCTTCCCTTGACCCTTTGTAGGTTGGGGAAAATTGGTCTGGATTAGCATATTGGTGTGACTGTAAAAAAAAAATAAAAATAAAAAAATGCATAATATTATTCGTTGTGGCTTGCACTGCTGCAACAAATTGGCCATGCAGATTTGCACGCTTTAACACCGTGTCAATTCAAATCTCTTTCCACTTCCATCCAGTTGCTCATTTGAAATATCCGTCCCAAACTTAAAATCAGCCTCCCATTCCCAACCCTCCAAGCCCTGACCTTACTGGCCAACAGGCTCTCCCTCTCTTGGACCAAGGAGGGACATCTCTCCATTTAATGATATCACTTGATTTTAATGATCTTCACTTCTTTTACACTTTAAAAAAAAAAAAAATCGGAGGAATATTGGAAGGAAGGTTACTAGGAAACTTTCATGGGCAGCCCCCCTCTCTGACATCTCTCCATTAATGCATGTGTATAGGTCCTGTTTTTGCATGTGTGTTCATTTCAGGCCTGTGTGTGTGTGTGTGTGTGTGTGTGTGTGTGTGTGTGTGTGTGTGTAATGTGTAAAAATAACAAATTGAATTTCCCCTCAGTGATCAATAACGTATGTCTTCTTCTTCTAAGGCATCACTGCACTAATGTTCAAAATGTGGCAGTCAAGGACCATAATGTAAATACATATAATTGCAAAAGTACAATTATCTAATTCATCAAGGTATAATCTCAAATTAACACAAATTGCTTTTCATAATTTCTGTGCATGCTGCCTTAAAATTGGAGTACTTAGAGCTCATTACAAACATGATCTTACAGCTTTGGCTGGAGGCTGATAGCATTATTTTGTCCAAGACAGAAAGACATTTTTAAAGGGTCAGCTCACCCAAATCACAAAAATATAAGTTCTACTTTAGGGGGCTAGCAATATCTCTGAATTTTCTGCCAAATTCAAGTTCTTAGAGGAGCAATGAAATTCCATTCCCCTTGGAGTGGTGACAGACGTTTCTCTGAGGAAAACATGTGCTCATATACATAAATGTACCCTTTGAGGAGCCGGCATCCCCGGCTTCCAGTGTCTGTTCACTAGGTGCATAAGAACTACGTGTGATATAAGAAGCGTACCTGAGATGCCAGCATGTGCTGTGAAAGGTGAAACATGAAGGGAGATGGAGAGGTGATGCTTTGAGAAGGCAGGCCTCCGTTTTCTGCTGCAGGCAAAGAAGGCAACAGACGTCCCATACCCTCTGGCTTCACCGACAACTGTCCCGGGTGAAACAACAAAGGTGCCCCGAGCTTAAGAAACTGTTGGCTGTGCGCACTTGAGAAATCCAAAGTCTGAAAGGGACCAGCGCTGAGGGGCGATGAGCTCTGCGTTTGCAACATCATCGGCAGGATGCCATCTTGGATTTCGCCCATGTGCTGTTTTGAAGAATCGCTCTCCGCGGAGAACATAAAATCTGATGATCTAAACATTGTTCTTTCTTTGGTTGTGTCCTGATTGCCGTTGCTCTTACTGAGTGCAGGCCTGTCCCGCAGTATCTCCTCGCTCTTCTGACTCAAAGAAAGCATATATTCACTCCTGGAACGGCTGGCTTCAGCAATGTCATCGTCTTGTTGATCAATATCTGAATCACTTTCAATATTGTCCTCACCTGTGGGCAAAACATACATTATATTCATTAAATGTATCAGCATATTTCTGCCTTGTTAGAGCAGTATAATATTAGAACACAGTGGGGACAGAGATGACTTGGTTACATCTGGAAGCCATGAGCGAGAAAGTGGTCATTTCTGACTAACCCCAAAGCGCCAATACAGTTGATTCCTTTAAAGCAAAGCTATTTCTGTATTGCCAAATTGAGTCACACAGTAAAAACTGAGGTTGAGATGTGAACAATCCTCAAAGTCCCCGAAATCTTAAAACATAGTACACTTCTGATCGCCTCATTTGTGTAAGTTTATTGTTGGCCTTGAAAATAGGACAAAACAAAAATCTGCTTACTAGGTGATGAAGACCATGATATGTGGTTGAAAGCTAATGAAAAACTGTGTAGACCCAGAGTGTGTTAGTAATTTGTCCGCCCCCCCTCCCCCCCACATACACACACAAACACACTTAAAGTTTTGATAAGTGGCACTGCTGTACAAAAGAAAAGTTGTACAGAAGAACCTTCTGTTGACAAGTGATGTCATGACACTATCTGGAGGTGTGGAGTTAGAGAGAAGTGAGTTTATGAGACCTGTAGCCTGCTCCTCATCTGTGCTTGATGCTAGCGGCTACAGGCTACATTAACCTGCCAGTAAAACACCCTACTAGTACCACCGTTGGTGTTCGAGTTGTGGGTAATGTAGATGCCAGATTTCGACGCAGAAAATTGGACAAGAATGCATGGCATACAAAAGATGATATCTCTGGTTCTGCTTGCATCCATGCAAGCAGAACCACCCTGGCTTGCACCCTGTACACTTCGCCAGACTATCGCAGGGCCAACACTTAATGACAGACAACCATTCAAGCTCACATTCACACATACGGGCGATTTAGAGTAATCGATTAACCTAAGCCACGTGGAAGCCGGAAGCCGGAGAACCCGGAGAACCCGGAGAGAACATGCAGACTCCACACTGAAGGGCCGTCCAGCCCAAAGCCTAAAGGTTAATCAGTTGTTTGTGAATCATAAATGAACATTGTCTCTGTTTAGTGACTGCAATGTTTATCTCTTTAATGACATAGTCGACTGTGAGTTCACCCACCTTGACCGGTCGGGGTGGACATCAGAGGGCTGCTCACCAGCTCCCGAGGGGAATAAAATGGATCACTGGTACTGGGTTGTTCACATGAGTCATCAGAATCAGCACAGTCCGGGTCCGCATTGTTTTGGCTCTCATGCATTGAAGAAATGCTTAACTGCTTACTCCTGCGGATCACAAATTGAAGTTAAGTCTACATATATATATGTATATATACAGATATATATATATACACATACGGATATGTCCTTTAATATTATGATGAATCATGCTGGCAAAGCAAATACCTCTTTTCACGCCTCCCATTTCCCATGTCTCTGAATCCTTTGGCAAACGGATTGTTGTCGATTTTTAGCTGTGTAATCTTGTGGAGAAAGAAGACACATCAGCAAGTTAATCTTTGCAAAAATACAGCTTCCAGTGTCCATAAAGCTCATATGTTGCACTAATGAGGGCCCATAACACTAAAATGTATACCTGTTAGTCTCCAAACCATCCCAACAGCCGCAAGACTGTTTTTTTCATACACACAATATCAACATCACCGCAAAATTGTTGCCAAGTGCATTAGGTCTGCTGTGTTTGCATGTGAGGTTAGAGCAGGAAGGATGGGGAGGGGGGGGGTACCTTTTCATTCTGATATGCAGTGACAGCGATGAACTCCGTCTCCGGGAAAACATAAGTCCGGAAGGTGCTGTACGGAAGCTTCATTATGTCGTTGGCTCTCACAATATGAAATCTGGGCTGGTATTTATGCATTGAATTCAAAATAGTCTGGAAAAATAAAGACAAAGAAATTCGAACGTCAGTGTGTTTGGCTAGTAAAGGACATGATTTACTAGAGTGACACATATCTCATTGATATGGGATTTTAGTTATAGTTAATTAAAAAAATGGGTTATCAAAAATAAGTCCCATATGCTACAATAATAAAAAAAAGTATTATATCTACTTACAAATCCATGCTTATCCGAAATATTATTGGTGAGTTTGAGTTTATGAAAAGCGACGGGCTTGCTCATCCACTGCTCCCCTTTGGACGGGCTGTCCGGGTGGATGTACATGCGCTTTGGCATCTCCGGGTCAGCTTTTCCAGCCACCACCCAGCGGGAGCTGTGAAACTTGTAGCGGCAGTCATCAACTGCGACAATGTCCATCAGCAGGATATACTTAGACGTTTCAACCAGCCCGTCTACCCGCACTTTAAACGCCGGAAACATCCTCCTGTGGCAAAGAATTGATGAAACATCGATGTATTCGTGCATTAGAACTTTTGATTTGTAAGTTTTGCATGCAAGGAGCTTCCCTTTTTTTGTTAAAATAATAGAGGCTATAAGATTTACTTGTATTTAGTTATTTTTTATCATAACAGCTAATTGAAAAAGTATTGAACTGGACTTCTGAAATAAGGCGAAGGGCCCCAACCTGATGTATTTATATCTTGAAAATCACAAACTGACCCCATGATAATAGTAATAATAATAATCATATTGGACTGTATAATACAACTATGGCATTTCAAACACGTGACTGCAATGACACTTCCAATATGCACATTTTTGTTCGCGTACCTTCCCGATTTCGTAATAACCATCTCAGTTCCCATTTTATGAAACTCAGTCCATAATTTTTTGGACTCCAGCGTGACTTTCGGGTCGTCTTCCAGCCCTTCCTCCGTCTGCAGGCTCTTACAGGACCGCGGCTGAACTGGCTGATGCTGGCGCACCAGAGCGGGGCGCAGCCCCGCGTCAGAGGCAGCCTGCTCGGACAGAGGCTCGGACAGGGAGGCGACGTCTGGGAAAGCCAGCGAGGGGAAAAACGAGGGCCGAGTGGCAGCAAAGAAGGCTGACAATGGCAAGGCACCTGGTGGATGAGCTTGGTAAGTATTGTAAGCCATGGCAGCCGCTGTGGAAATTGGATATTTCATCAGGGTATCCGATCGGACAAGTCGATTCTATAAAGTCTCAGCCCAACATGCTGTTGCTGCTGTACGGCGCGCGAGCGTCTGCATCCAGTTGAGACAAACCTTTTTGAGAGTTTGAGAGTTTTGTAGCATGCCCGAGAGATCAAACAATGGAGGGGATGCAAATTTGTAGAAGTAGACGCTGAGAGGTGATGATGGTCCTTTATTTGTCCACTGGTAGATCCGCCAACGACAGGACAGCGCACTTTGGGGCCATGCGCAAAGCTTTAAAAAAAGAAAGAAAAGTAATGGTACAGAGGAGTGAGGACAGACAGATTCAAAGGGATGGTGTTAACGCACGTCTGTCCTTCCCGGTACGCTATAATGAGCCAAATATTTTTGACATCGCTTCACTGTCCGTACCAATTACCTAGGGGAGGGGGGGGGGGGGGGGGGGG